AAATTCAAATGGGAAGGAGTGTGTAAATTCCCTTTTTTAATAACGCCTTACCTCAATACAATGTGAATGAAATCTTCAATAAATAAGCTCTAACCTTACTTAAGATTCACCCATCATTGCTCCAGGTAGTCTTCTAGTCAAGTTTAAAATGGTTTGCTATAAATGGGCATTCATATTAGGTTGTATTTGGCTGAGTTACCCTTTACTGTTAATAAATCTTCAATTTTAAATAGTGCTACAGATGAAATTCAAATGGGAAGGAGTGTGTAAATTCCCTTTTTTAATAACGCCTTACCTCAATACAATGTGAATGAAATCTTCAATAAATAAGCTCTAACCTTACTTAAGATTCACCCATCATTGCTCCAGGTAGTCTTCTTTCCCTCCGTGTCTTCCTTTTCAAAATTATGATGGGTGAAACAATGAGATTCAATACTGTCTCTGTAGATCCTAAGACTTGATTTTTTTTTCTATGTAGATACAAATATACATCTACATAGAAAAAAAAAATCTAGAGTGAGCTCTGTATGTTCAACAAATATTAAAGAGATTAAAATAATGACAGTACAGGCTTTTAATGGAAAATATGCATTTTCTTAAATGCAGGATACTGCTATGTGCAAGCTATGGTTCAAGCAAGATGACAAATTTTTCCTTCCTAAAGCTTGTCTCAACTTTGAATTTTTCAGGTAGGCAAACATGTTTATATTTACATTTGTTCATATTAAATGTGGTACATTATTTTTATTTAGTAAACAGAATTTATTTGAAACACCTATGAAATTGCTCTCTTTGTATAACCAAAATTGCCTACCCCTACCTTCTGCCTCAAATCAGCATTCAGTATGTGCAACTATGGGGTAATTTTGTGCAGTTTTTCCCAGAGGATGAAAAGCATGATCCAGGAGCTTTTATTTGAAAGCTGAGGTCTGAATTCAGACCTCTCTATTCTTCTCATGTCTCCCCTCGAACCAGATCACAGTAAGTAGTACCCAGGTAGAGCTTTTCCACACATGAACAATTCATCTTGGATATGTACACATAAACTTACTTCCAGATAGATAGATAGATATATCTTCTGTTAGATTTCTGAAACAACAGGACAGATGTGTAGACCTTGTGATTGCTGCTGCCTTTTGGGATTTTTGGGATTTTTCCATCCTCAGAGATTATTCAGTAGATTTCTTCAATGAATCTTAATTTATTGATACTGAACAATGAGATCTTGGTTGACCTTATTATGCAAATGTAAGAACATTTAACTTACAAATTAATAGTGTAAGAATTTATTGTCATGTTAGCTAATATTCTAGCTGTTCTTTTTCTAGAAGTGTAATGGTTTTATCTTTCTGTTATATATACTTTTAAAAGGCATTAAAGAGGAATAATATGGAGCTGCTGGATTTGTCAGAGTATTAGAGTAATTAATACTTCCAGTTGGTTTATTACTGGTGTGTAGAGAGGAGGAATGGAGGAGGAATTATAACGTATGTTGCCTGAACCAATATGTAAATTGAAAAACAATTATACTTAAACATTTGTAGTTTTTCTTGATCTTTTCTGTTAAACTGCTTACATGAGGGAAAAGTTTACATAAAATGCATTCCAAGTGCAAAAACACATTGTAGTAGAAATATTTTGCATGCAACAAATGCATATACAGGCAGTCCTTGCTTAACAGCCTTAACGATGGTTCAAAGTTACAGTGGCCTCGGAAAAAGTGTTTTACAACCTGTACCTACACTTGCGACCATTGCAAACTATTGCACAACCCCCCGTGGTCATGTGATTGTGATTTGCAACCTTTTTTACGATGGTTGTAAAGGAAATCACTGCAGTCATTAAATGAATCACATGGTTGTTAAGCAAATAATGTGGTTGTTAAGCAAATTCCAGCAAAAAACATCCATTGGGGAAGCTGGATTCACTTAATGACCACATGACTCACTTAATGACTGCGGTGATTTGCTTTACACCCATCATACAAATGGTTGTAAAATTGGGTCTAGTCATGTACTGACTCGCTTACCAACCACCCTGCTTAACGACCAATTTTCTAGGCCCTATGGTGGTTGTTAAGTGAGGACTACATGTATTAAAAAGACTGAACTTGAAAAATCAATAAAATAAGTTTGGAAAAATGAGAAATTGAACAAAATTGAGCTTCAGATTTGAGGATCATTAATATAGACAATAGTTTTCAGAGAGAAGAGGATCTATTTTTGTGTATTACTGTAGTCTTTGGAATACGAGATTTTGCAGTACTTCAGAAATTGCATGTTGCCTGCAAGAAAATTGCTAGCTTGCTGTAGAAAATAATAAAATATTTTGAAAGTCTCTTTGAATGTCCAGTTCCTCTTGTCTGCATGATCTGATTTTCTGAAATTACCTTGTTCCAGTGCACCTTCTTTAGGGCAAATAACTATGTTGTACCTTTCTATTGTATATGCTTAAATTGTTCTATAATTCCCAACACATAGATATAGCAAACCAATCTTCCAAAACATGTGTCTCAGTTATATAGTGATTGAACACTAAGTTCAGAATTTATTAATATAAGCTTACCCTCTCTCCCAGGAAAAATTAGAAAACACTATTCAGTTTCAAACAAGTCAGTGTTATTGCCCATTTTAAGATCTTGGCTTTTGAAGAAATCTGAAAAAGAAATCTGGATGATTTAATATCCTGAAATGATAATTCCTGTATTACAGAATATTGTCTTTCTGATGAGACATAAAATAGAAATCGAAACTATTCCTTAAAGTGAGAGTTTTTGCTGAATAGTCTTTTTATTGTTTCCAACTTTTATGGCTTTACAAAAAGAAGAAAAATGTGAAAATTACAGGAACTTCAATAGTTTGAATGGGGATAAACTAGAGAAGAAACTATTGGACTGAGGAACAGCTCATGTAAAAGCAAATGCATGTATTTGTGTATCTCTGTAGTACAGTCATTTTGTCCACACTAAAGTACCTTTTTTCAAAGAGAAAACAATGCTTCTATGGGGGTCAGGTAGCATGGATTTCTATATGAATTGTAGCACAGGAGTGGGCAAGATGAAAAATATACTAGAAGACAGGACAGTCACAGCTTTAACTGGGATTTGAACAAAGAGTAACATTGCTTACTACATTAGTAGATAGTGGTATACATCAATGGTTGGTGGTTGCAAAAGCCACTGTGCATTCAATCTACTGAGGTTTTTTCCATCTTCTATTGATACGACAAGCTTAAAGGTAGGTGTATTTCCTTTCTCCTCTGTTATCTGTCTGAAATAGGTTCTGTGGTTGTAACTTGTCCCTCTCTTGACCTTCTACATTGAGCATCAGCAGCTTGGTGATCTCCATATATTGGACCATTGAACAAGATCATACCTGCTGCTAAGAAAAGGAACATGATCTTTTAATTTCATCAGTCAAATTAATACAAAACTCTAAAGAGCTGTTTTGTGATCTCAGATTGCTGTCATTCACTAATGTGTGATTTGTCTTGTCCGCCTAAAGCAAGCATTTTCTGTTTACTTTTGTTAGATACAGTATAGACTTAGTGATAATGCTCCACATTTACTAAGCCTACACTTTGTCTATTTAAAGCAGAGGTATAATATAGATTTAGTGAATGTGGATAATCTGTGATCACAATAAATTATTCAAGAACCTGTGGGTTGTTCTTCTGGATTAGAAAGTCCACTCTTATCAGGAGAAAACCTTTCAAAGATGTGTTTGTATGATTCATGTTTGAATTTATTTAGAAGACCGTGTGAATTGCAGTATAATCCTATCCATAGAGTTACAATGACATATATTTACTAAAGAATAAACTTTATAGTCCAATTTCCAAATGGTATACTGTATAGGTTTTTAAAAAATCTTTGTTTCACTGAATGTTTAAATATGTGGTTACTGAGAAAGAAAAGTTGAATAAAATAGTATTGCAACTTTGTCCAGCAAGTAATGAAGTTCTGACACAGTCCTTCTTAGGCTGTTCTCCATAGTTATGTCGTCCACCACTGCCTCCCAGCATTTATCACTGATTAGTTGGTCAGCCCCCATGTCCCTGCTTTTAATGTCAGTCAGCTGATTCATTGAAATTTATAAATTATAATACAAGTATCAACATTAAAATTCAGTATTAAAATTCAGAACTAACAATAATGAACAGGCTTGGAGCGTATTTACAAACTGATTCAATATATGCTGTGCTAAGTGGAAATACAATAGAAAATATGACGTTGAATGTCTAAAAATGGGATTTAATTTGGTGGCTATCCACTTGACCTAGCCATATAATACTCAGAGATTTCTACTGAAAAAAAATTCTTGACCAGTAAGCTTGTGTAAAAGTTATTCTAATTCT